TTGGGCCGAAAACAGCGCCGGCGGACCCAGGCCGAACCCGGCGCGTTGGGGGGCGCCCGGGGGCGCCGGGGCGAGCTGTTTTGGCGCGAAAAAGACGCTGGCCAGCCGCGTCAGCGACTCGGCGCCTCGTCTTCCCCCAACGGCCTCGGTTCCGGCAGGGAATCAATGGCAAGGCTGCCGCCGGTCAGCCTTGCCATTGATTCCTCACGGGCGGCGCGTTCACGGGACGGCGCGCTGACGCCTCCACTCCCTCGCACGCGTACACACGGGCGCGGCCCGGCTATAAAAGCCGGCGGCCTCCGCTCACCTGCGCCCACACCAGCCCCGCCCCTCGCCGCCGTCCAGCCCTTCCTCTCTCCCCGAGCGCCGCCGCCCAGCCCCTCCCTCTACCTCTCCCGAGCCCGCCCAGCCCCACCTTCGCCATGGCAGAGCGCTTCCCCGGAGATACGGCGGCGACCAACGGCTTCGGCCGCCGTTCGCTGCGCAAACAGGAGTCGTGGCTCCTGTTCCAGGCGAACATCCCGGCGCCGCCGGACATGCGCGCCGGGCCGACGGGGTGGAGACTCAGCGCCGGGGGAGTGCCCATTCCCCCGTTGCCCGACGCCGCGGCGGACCCGAGGTACTTCGCCGAGGAGGTCGACATCGTGCGCGCGTCCCTCACCGACGCCGAGCTCTCCCTCCCCCAGTACACCACTGACAACCACGCGGCCTGGGCGGCGTATTTCGAGCGCCGCCAACAGCAGCACTTGGCGTCCACCAACGGCGCGCCGGTGGTCGGCAGCCGGCGGAACAGCGAGGGACGCTACCTCTGGTGGGGCGTCCCCGGCCGCACACTCGAGGGCGTGCTCACGTACCTCGAGGGCGGCAATGACCCGCCGTTGGCGTACCCCCCGGCGAGAGTGGCCGCCCTGGCGTAGCACTGACGCGCCGGGCCATGGGCTCCAAGAAGGTTCGGCGCATCCTCTTCTTCCTCCTCGTCGTCCCGTTCTTCTTCCCACTCCTTCGGCTCTCCGGCGCTGCCCCGCGGCGGAGACACCGCTCGGCCGGCGCACTCGCAGCGCCGGCATCGTCATCAACGAGGGCGGCCGGCGCGCCCCCTCGTCGGCTCCTCCGCGCTTCGTCAAGCCGAAGACGGAGCCGGGGCTGGCGCCGGTGAAGACGGAGCCGGGTCTGGCGCCGGTGAAGACGGAGCCGGGTCTGGCGCCGGTGAAGGCCGAGTTCGCCGCCGACGACGATGCCGCCCTCGAATGGGCGCGCCAGGACTCCATTGCGATGGAGAAGGCGCGCCGCGAGAAGGAGAAGGAGCGCCAGCGCGCCGCCCTACGCCGCTTCGAGGAGCGCCGACGCGGCCGCGAGGAAGGCGGGGTCGTCGTCTTGTGCGACAGCGACGACGACGACCACGCGCCGCCGCCTGTTCGCGATGGCGACGCCGGGCAGGGGTCCAGCAGGGGCGTCCGCGTCAAGGAGGAGAAGGCCGACGACGACGATGGCGGCGACGGCGGCGACGACTTCCCCCTTTCTTTTTTTTAGATTAGGTTAACGTAATGTTTGGACGAATTTCGCCGAAATTTGCCATGTTTTGCCGAAATTTAACTAGTTTTATCATAACTTCGCCGAACTTTTTTTTTGTTTTTTAATACGCGCATGGGGACGGCCCTGGGGGCCGACGGCTGGGGACCGACTCGCCCCCAGGGCCATTTTTTGCGCCGGCTCACCCCCAGGCGGCGCTTTTAGACGCCCCCTGAGGGGCCAATGGCTGGAGATGCCCTAGGGGAGAGAGGGTGGTGAGTGGGCCCAACATGAGACGTGCGTGTGTGTGTGAGAGAGAGAGAGAGAGATGTGCAGGCGTCTGACGTAGTTTCCAGCCGGTCGCCTGAAGGGAATTGTTTCCCTTTTTATAATCCTGCGAAACAACGCAATTTTCAGCCAGTCGCGTGGAGGGAATTGTTTCCCATTTTATAATCCTGCGACCGAAGGAGCCCTAAGGTAAAGTTTCTATAAATCACAATCCTATGAATCAAACAATGCACACATAAAAATCCTAAGGATTAGAATCCCTAGAAAATATATTTTAAAATACTCAGATAGCGTCACCTAATCCTCCTCTCGATGGTCGCATTTGTCTTTCCGTCCCCGGTCGGCCAGGGAAGCTCTGTGCTGAGTGCCCCATCGCCTGAACAGGAGCCCAGAGGAGGACAGCAAGCACATACTGTTGCAAGGCTTTCCTTGACTTTTTACCAAAAAATGGTTTCATCTTGAGCGGAGCCATGGATCTCAACCGTCCTCATCGAATCCAACTGCTCTAGACCAACTAAAGCAAGGAACTGTTCAACGCAGTGTTTAAACAAGGCATGAACCTCTGGATATCATGTGAGCGTAGCTCTAAAAATGTCCCCACCATCATCAAGGAAGTGGCATAAAAAGATCACCCAAACACAATAAAAGCACAACAGGCAGTCTAAACTCTAAACTCCGATTATCACATAAGAAAACCAGATCAGTAAAGGGAAAAACAATGAAGCATAAGGCCAACTCCACCGCACGACCCCAAATCGTCCGGGTCTGTCCGTTTGGATCTAAACGGACAAATAAAGCGGCCCAATGCGCAAACCCATCCGCAAAAAGCGTCCGTTTCTGATCCGCTTTGCCCCATCCCGAGCGCAAATTTGATTTGGCTTTGCGGTCAAGCGAACATCGAACGGACGCTTTCTGCTCCTCCCTGGCCGTTCTTGTCCGGGCCTGGACCCACTTGTCACCCACTCATCACCTCCCATCGGTCTCTCTCTCTCTCTCTCTCTCTCCTCGTCACAGCAGCAACAACGGCGGCGGCTCCTCGGCAAAACGCGACAGGGCCGGCGCAGCACGGGCGCGCTAGCGGGCGCGGCCCTGGCGAGAGAGCGCAGGCGAGCACGGGAGGTGGGGGCGCGTGTCGGCGCTGCTGCGGGCGCGAGCGGGGCGAGGCGAGCGCGCGCGGGGCGGCTGGTGGTGAGCGACGGGCCCGCGGCCCCACCGCGACGGGAGCAGCGGAGG